GGGTCTCAGTTCAAAGGCCTCAGGTCCAGGACGCGGGCTGTAGCCCAGTTCAGTGGCGCGGGAATGGCGCCTTTTGCACGCTGCTCCCGTGCCTGGGCGCCTGGTTCCTGCTCACTCAGGGAGGGCCTTTCACCCCCGTGAGGGCCTCTGCGCGTCTCCCCACAAGCCTAGGTCGCAGGCGCGGGGACCTGGGCAGCCGGGATCCCAGTCCACCTTTGCTTTTCAATTGTGCCAAGCGCGCCGCTTTCCCGCGCAGCTTACCGGCAGCCCGGGCTGTGTGCGCGTCTCCCGGGGTCTTTGTTCTCTAATGGCACCCGGAGCCGTTTGCTCACCGCCGCGGCGGATCCTGCAGGGTTCTCCACAGCTCCCGTTCATGGGGTGTGGTGGCTGCAATAGTTCCTTTCCACTCACAGTCCCGCTTGCTGCGTCGTTTGTTCTTGTTGGCCGTTTTAGTTTGTTGTTTTCCTCCTCTCTGCCGGTTGGACAGTGCCGCCTCTGTGGGCGGGGGAGGGGAGCAGGGTTCTGCGCTTCCCTCCCTTCTAGTCCTCTTTTATGGCAACTTTCTTCTTCGGGCAGTTTGCTGGTGTCACCTGTTTATCTTCCGTGTCCCAGTTCTCACTGGGACCTGCCGCTTTTCCTCCCTATTAACTTTTTTTAATGGGAGATCTTACTCGCAGCGTCTCCTCGCCGCCATGTTGCTCCGCCCAAACATGTTTTTAAAAGGATCTGTTTTGTTTTTTTAAAGAGGGAATTCTAAAGCACCAAATTGCTATCAAATAAAATAGAAATGATAAAAACAGCTCCAGAAGATAAATGAAATCAAAAGCTGGTTCTTTGAGAAAATAAATGTGTAAATCTCTAGCTAGACTCACTAAGAAAAAGTTAAAAAACTCTAAGTAGAATCAAAAATGAAAAAAGAGTAGTTAAAACAGACATCTCAGCAATATAGAGCTTTATGAGAAACCATGAACATCCTTATGCCAATAAATTGGCATAATCTAGATGAAATGGAGTTCTTAAAAGCATGAATCAGGGCCTCCCCAGTGGCGCAGCAGTAGAGTGCTCTGCTGCGAAGCTGCCCGCAGCCTCTGCAGTGCCAGTTTGATCCCAGGCCACCAGGCGAGGGTCCTACATGGCGCGCAGACCTCTCCTGTCGCCCGCTGCTCCCCTCAGCAGTGTACTTCGTCTGTTCTGCCTGTTCTGCTCCAGGCTCTGGTTCTGGTGAATTCTCTTACCCTCCTGTGCTTCTGACTGTACCTAGTGCTTATATAAATATTTTTTTTTTAAAAAAGCATGAATCAGATAGAAATAAATGGAAAAATACCAACCAATTATAGCAAGGGAATTGAACTAGTAACAAGGACCTTTGTTAGAAAAGGTTGATTTGGAAAGACTTTCCATACCTGATATGGGAAAAGGGGTGGAGGAGAAATATGTAAGGAAAAATTAGACATCATATATTCTTTGAAGATGGAAAGATCCTTAGAATATTTCCTAGCTAGTATTTGTGTCCTTGAAGTTACAAATACATGAGTCTTTTTTCCAAATGAAAATTATGTCTTTGCTGGAGTAAAGATAGAAAGAATCCACACAGATAACAACAGAAGTTAATGAGGGTGTTGCATAGTGCTAGGGAAATAAAGACGAACAAACTACAGCCCCAATAGAAGCTATTTCCAAAGGGAGCTAGATTTAAGGACTCCCTTAACAAATCTTCTGTCTATATTGACTTTAGTGCTCATATATGCCCCATTTAGAGTATAAGTTAAATGAATATCTTTGGGGAAGAAGTTGAACTAAACTTTGAACTCCTTTAAACATATATTTGCAAGTGTGATATTGTGATATCATAAGATACATATCTTTAGTCTTCTAGAGTTCTTGGAACAAAATTCCTTAAACCCTTGTGATTTCATTTGTTAAGGGTGGGGGTCACATGTTTTTGATAGTAAGCTCCTGTGAAATCTTTTCTGAGTTTACACTAATTTGGTGACTCTTACAGGATGGGGGCTGGTGTCAGAGGAACCAAAAAGTTGATAAAAGATTGGAAACTTCAGTCCTATTCCCCTACCCCAAGGGAGTACAAAGAAGGGCTGAGATTGATTTGATCACCAATTTATGAGGATTTAACTAATCTTGCCAATATAATGAAATCTCCATATATCTTCTAACTAAAAGGATTCAGAGAACATCTGAATTGGTGAACACATTGAGATGCTGGAAGGGTGGGGTACCTGGATAAGGCATGAAAGCTCTCTACCCCTTTCCTACATTTTGTCCTATGTCCTTCTGGCTGTTGATCTTTGTTTGTTGTAATATCTATTATAATAAAATAATAAATGTGTTCCTGACTTCATAAAATCTAGCTTTATGTTTTCTAACAAATTATCAAACCTGGGGAGAAGGTCATGTGAAACTCAAATTTATAGTTATAAAGTCAGAAGCAAAGGTGACAACCTAGACTTTGTAGACTTTTGAAGGGGGGTAATTTTATGATAGTGAGCTCCTAACCTGTGAGATCTGCACTAACACCAGACAGTTGGTGTCAGAATAAACTGAATTGCAGGACAGAGAGTTGGAGAATTAGTTGGTATGTGAAAATTCTATCCATATTTGGAATCAGTAGAGAAAAATTTTGTCTTTAGTCTACAAACAAGGAGAATTATACCCTTAACTTTCTTAAACATGCACTTAAAAAGTATAGCTCCTTCTGAACATTCTATTTGCTTCTCTCCTTAGTACTGTATATTTTCTTAAAACTTTTTTTATTACTTTTAGAGTTTAAATTCCCTGCGGCTAGGAGTTTGTCTCTTTATTTGCTTCTGTGTCTTCAAGAACTTTTTCAGTGCTTTTACATAGTAGGTGCTCTTTATGTATATTTGTGGAATAAATAAATGAATGACTTTTCTTACTTCACTACGATTCAGCTCATTCAGTAAGTTGTTTACTTCTTCCTGAGGGTTTTTTTTTTTTTTTTTTTTTTTTAGTGAAGACATAAACATAATTAGTTTTCTAGTAGTTCCCTAGTGTTGGATGGTTATATTTCAAAAAAAAAAAAATTCAAAATTGAAAGCAGATTGATGATTATCTAAATATTTTGTTACATGTGGTCTGTATTATGGCTTGAGGTACATGCTTGATTTATCTTCAAGTACAGGTGTTTTTGTATTTTATTATACATGCAACTTGGTTATGCACTTCAAATTATATAGAATTATTTAAACCCAGCACCTAGCCTGACTGTTAAGTTAGATGTGCTGCTTTATAGTCAGCTGGAAACAGAACAGCTGGTTTCCAGACACTCGGGAATTGTCTTCTCCAACACAGTGACCATGTTTGATTATTGAGCATGTGAAATTCAGCTAGTCTGAATTGAAATATACTATAGAAGCTGGATTTTGAAATATAGTAGAAAAAAAGAGGTTTAAAATATCCGTTAAGTGTGTGTTCATTAAATAATTAGGTACATATTGAAATGACAATACATTATTATAGTGGGTTAAATAGACTATATTAATGAAGGAATTCCATCTGTTTATCTTGTATTTTTCATGTTTACTATTCTGTGTTTTATAATAGACAGCTATGGCTTCAGCAAAACATCCCCTTAAGTGTCAGGAAAAAGGAGGATTAGTGGTTCCTGAGGTTTGATGATAGAATTGTAGACATGGCAGATTGTAAGAGTTTTGAGCTGTTGTTATAACAACTGTTACCATCACCAACTCTTCTTGCTACATGAAAAAAAGAGAGAAAAACTCTACTTTTAAACTATTGCTGAATAGTTTTCTTAAAAATAACTAGGATAATAATTAATATTTCAAAATCATATTGTGGATATCACTCAAATAAATGACTGTGCAAGTCATTCTATATTGACCTTCTTTACTCAGTCTTCTGACATCAACTCCCCTCAAGAGACAATGCAAAGCCAAAGGTTGTAAAACTTCTTTGGCCAAGTGTTGTTTACTTTTATATATTGAGCAATATATGCAAGTTTCAAACTCGTAAAAACATGTATGGCAGAGTTCAATTAGGTTGCTTAGAGAAGAAAGTTTGTTGATACAATTTGAACATAGATTCCATTCTCCTCAACTCAAATCCTTCAGATGGTGTGATTTTTATTTTTAGGCAAGAAATAATGGTGAGGGAATTTAATCCAATGATCTAATGTTTTTATACTTATTTCTTGTCTCTATTATTCAAAAAGAGATGTGATGAGTGATGCAACTTGAGTAATGTTCTAGTATCTACTAATGCTCATGACTTCAATAGTAATTATACTTAATTTTTGTCAAGGTATTTCTCTTCTGTTTCTCTCCAAGGTATAATGGCCAAGGTGTCATTTGACTATTATGAATTGTTTAAAATATAATTTGTGGATACTAACACTTTTCTTTTATGTGCAGCTGAGAGAAATGGATGAGAGGTTTCCCCCAAAAATGGATTTCCCAGACCTCCTGTCTGCACATGTGTTGTAAAATGGTTCCCTCCAGATATTTTAGCAGATTCAGGAAACAATTTTGCTACCATTAGCATCACCATGTTGGGTCAGAGGCGCTTCATAAACTCTTGCATGGTCATTTTAATTTTATGGTTTTTATTGAGAGAACGTCATAAAATATTGTAACCCATAAAAAGAATCAAAGACTAACATGCCTGTGCTTTACAAAAGCATATTTTCCATTATTTGAATATTTCAAGGTCTGAACAAATTTATTGAATATGTCATAACCCCTTTTAAATTTCTGGATCATTAAGACCAGGCAAGAACAGTGAAATATGCCCACTGAAATTGCATAGGAAATTGCCTGCACAAAGAGTGGAGAAATATTAAATTATAGTAATATTAAAAATTAAAATAAGGTTATTTTACATTAAAATACTGCTTGTGGAATTTTTGTTATATGAACTAGTCCAACAAAAATATGTTTTTGTTTTTGTTTTTTTTTTTTAGCCAGGAAAAGTTTCTGTTTTAATTACCAAATTCTTCTCTTTTGTAGTAAAGAGATTATATGAAAGACTAAACATAGATCGAATATTCAAGATGCAAGTTGTTTTCCACAATGTAAGTAATTTTGCCTATATTTTGTCTCCCTCAAGTTAGATATCTAATTAGAAATGTGTATACTATATTCTGAACTTATGGTGAACTGAATTCCTATTAAGTCCTTTAGTTATCCCAGCTATTATCCTATAAGAAAATTATATCAACAATTTCACTATGAAATATTTCATATATAAAGGAGAAGTAAAATATATAATACAAAAAATTTCTAGAAATACATATGAACCCATCAAACAGCATAATATAATCACACTATGTAACATTTGACTGTTCACCTTTTTCCATCTCACTATCTAGAATTTAATGTTTTTAGTTTTATTTCTTATCTTGATTATTTTAAATAACACATTATTTATTATTCATGTTGGCCAGCCTTTATCTAAGTTAAATCATTTAATGCATACTGTTGCAGTGTCTGTTTGTTTTTCACATTATTATCTGGACTATGTCTATGGGTATTATTTCTTTTCATTCTCAATAATTTTATGTGTTCCTTTTTTTCTGACATCTTGTCAGAGTTTGCTATTTTCTCCAACTTTCAAAAAAGTAAGTTCCAGTTTGTTGAGCTTATTTGCTTTTTAAATTACTTCCTTAATTCCTGCTCTTTTCTTTATCATTTCATTTTTTGTAATTTTGCATATTTTATCTAATTTAGTTTGTGAAATTTAAATCACACTCCAAGGTTATTTTTACCCTTTTATTTTCTTATAAAATGTGCATTAGGTACTATAAGAATTCCTGTAAAGTCTATTTGGCTTAACTTATACAATTTGATATTACATGTTAACATATATGTGTGTATATATATATATATATATATAGCCACATATATATGTGTATCTTTATTATAGGTACATATTTTATTTAACACTTAAAAGATATTATTCTCCTTTCTTCTGCCATCGATGCTGCTGCTGAAAAGTCTGTTTTAACTGATGTTCTTTCATAAGCAATAATAAATGTTTCTCTGTATGTTACAAAAATGTCCCCTTGACGTTGATGCAATGCATTTGCTCTACCAATGGAGGTGTGGGGTTTCATGAATATTAGGATCCATGGGAATACCATAACATCTTGTTTGAGGGCACATCTATACAAAAGGTTGTATTACTTTTGGCCAGCTGCCTTGGCCACTCAATAACTAGATTCATCTGAATGCTTACTAACACCCCTCTGTGGTACCTGCATAAGACTTGAATCTCTAGGGATTGAAACATCAGGAACTCCTCATTTAGCTCTCCACATATTATGTGTTCTCTGCGCTCTAAAAGCTTATTTCTTATATTGCAGATCCAAGCTACAAAGGCACATATTCTGAGAAAGCGAGTGGAATCTGTATTTACCTTTTATGACCTCTCTTCAAAACTCACGTAGTATCATTTCCATCATGCACTGTAATAATAAATATAAGAGATGCACCAAGATTTAAAATAGGGAACTTTATGAAATAAGATATATATTGCTAGATCATATTTAGAAATTGTAAATTGCTACAGGATGCAAAACACCTGATAACATTTCAGAAAAATTTCTTGGCTATAGTTTATTTTGGAGATTAAAGTAACATGGATAACAGCTATCGACCCTTATGAAGGATATTTGTAATTTCAGATTTTCAGGGGTGTCTCATTCCCAATTCAAGACCAAAAACACAAGTTGTCATTGTAGATTGGATTTTGTTGTTGTTATAGTGGTAAAGTTTATTATGTCACTGAGCATCAGTCCTACTCTAGGTGGGGTCTCCTATTTCAACTGCTCACCCTGTAGTAATCAACTTGTAGACTTAACCTTTTATTCTTACCTTTCCATGTCTTTTAAAACATAAACCTGAAAGGTTTTACCCTGGGAAAGTAGTGGAGTAGGGACAAGAAAGGAATGAAGGAGTTTCTGGGACTTTATAAATTTCTCTCTCTCTCTCTCTCTCTCTCCCCCTCCCTCCCTCCCTCCCCCTCCCGCCCCTGTGTGTGTGTGTGTGTGTGTGTACTGATTAAACATATGATTTCACTTTATGAAGATTGATCTGAAAATTTATGATTTGTACCCTTTCATATATAACAATATATTTCAAAAGAACGTAAACCAAACCATAAATGAACAAAGAGCTGCAGATAAGATTTATAAATGACCTCTTAGAGTCATCTCCTGTTTCAGCATTTTAATCCTTGTGGTTAAAATAAAAATTTTCACTTTCTAATCTCAAAGCTAAAAATGGATGAATAGAAGTATAGTGTTTCTCATATTAAAGTCTTTATATACTATTGTTTTTAATTTACCCGTCTGCTACCATTTAAATTAAAGCAGCATCCTTCCAAGAAGGAATGCAAAATTCATAGGAAGTTTACAGTCAGTGGATGAGTCAAATCATATTTTGGTTTAAACTATCAACATTTACTAAGAATTTTTGCATTCATTATAGAAGCAGTGTTGTTGTCACATTAAAATCGACAAGTGGATCTCATTTGAAAAAAGAAAAGAAAGTAATAGATGTCCCAAATATATGAACCAAAGTAAAGTGCATAATTCTTCTTTATATAAGAATTCTTTATAAAACAATTCTTTATAAAACAATTTAAAGTGAATTATTTGATTTTAAATCTCATACAAACAATGTGTGATACAGATCTTGTTATTTTCATTTTATTTTTTAAAGATTTTGTTTATTTATGCATACAAGAATTGGAGTATAGGCCAGAGTTTGAGGGGTGAGAGAATTTGCCAGAGTGGGGAGTGGAACAGGTGGATGTACTGCAATACACTGCTGAGGGGAGCAGCGGGCGAGATAGGAAAGGTCTGCTGCACCATATGTGGTTCCGCTCCCTGGCCAGGGATCAAACTCATGTTGCAGTGGCTGGCAATAGCTTGATAGTGTTGTATCTTTAACCCCTATGATACCAGAAAGGCTCCCTACATGTCATAATTTTAAACATTCTTGTTTATTTTTTTCACAGTATGGATTTATCCTTTCAGGTGTGGTCATTATAGTTTCCCTACACCACAGTCCAATTTGCTCTCCTCCCCATGTTTTCTACTCTTTCCCTCTCCTGAATATCTCAGGTCTGTTGTCTGCTTTCAACTTACGGTTTGTCTTTGTCTGATCCTTTGATTGGTTTCTCTAGATTGCACATATAAGTGAAACCATTCGGTATTTACCTTTCTCCTTCTGACTTATTTCACTTAGCATAATCCGTTCCAGCACCATCCATGCTGTTGTAATGACGAGCTTTTCTTTTTTGATTACTGGGTAGTATTCCATTGTGTGTATGTACCACGATTTCTTGATTCACACATCTCTCTGAGACATTTGGTTGTTTCCATACCTTGGCTACTGTGAATTGTGCTGGTAAAAAATAGGAGAGCAGGTTTCCTTTTAAATTAGTGTTTTTTGCTCTTTCTGTAGATACCTCTGTGGAATTGCTGTATTTTTATAGTCTTATTTTTAGACCTTATTTTTATAGACCTATTTTTAGTCTTTAGAGGCACCTCCACACTTCATTCCACAGAGGCTAAACCAGTGTACAGTCCCACCAAGAACATAATAGGGTTCCTTTTTCTTCACACTTTCGGCAGCACTTGATACAGATCTTATTATTACAGATATCCTGTTGGTAGAAAAGTTTTCTACTAATTCTTTCTAAAACACCCTACTTTTTTTCTGATATGGTTCCAGAATCATTTTGTTTACATTTGGGACTATATGTGAACTCTAAATCCATTGGTACTACAGCAGCAAACTCTCTATAACTCTTCTTGATCCCATAGCCCTGAAGAAGGAAGTACATTATCCTTTTGGCTTACTGAGGGTGAGGATGCTAGCCCTGTCCTAAATTGATTTTCAACTCACTATAGTTCAAATACAAACATGTTAATTATATTTGCAAAGATATGGAGAATTATGCATAAATTCTAAAATTTCAACCCTCCTCTGGAAATTTCAGCCCTCCTCTGGAAATTCCAACCTTGAACTTGGTCAGGTAGTCAAAAAAATTCTGAGTTCCTCTCATATGTCAGATTTCAATCTATGTAAAGACTGTACAGATTGCTAAAACTTAACCCATTGCTTCAGAGGACTCACTGGATAATTTCTTAATTCAGTAACATTCACAAAATAAATCTAAAAAAAAACTTAGTTAAAAAGAAAATTACTTTTAACTCTCATTTTTGTTCACTAAAATAATCATGTTAATTGTAAAAGTGACCTAAACAAAATAAATGTTTTATCTATTTTATGTCTACAAAAGGGAATTGATTTGTTCCAAATCTTAAGCATGGAAGTATACTTCCTATTAATCCCAGTAAGTAAAATAAAAAAAAAAAAATCACGAGGAAAAAAAGACTATTTCTATCCATAATTTTCCTTTAGTCTTTTTCGTGTTTCAAAAATATTTTTTTTTTTTTAAAATCCACTGTGCGTATTTAGGATTTCATGATTCAGTATTTCTGGAATTTCAAATCACTGCTCTTTTCACTCTCCAGTAAAACATGCTATTTTTAGACTTTTTTAAGTGAAGACCTATGCTTCAGGACAGGTGATGATATGGAATGTCCATCCCCTATTCAGATCAGTCTACAATTCTAACAAAAACAAAATACAGTAGACATTGATTCCCCTGAGAGAACTTGGCATATGCCCGTGTAAAGGCCAACATCGATTGTAATCAGTGTCTTTCTCAATCCCAAGCACTGATTCTTCTGCTTTTGTACATAAGACAAGCTGTCCAAGTTTCTCTGGAATCTGTATACTTCTGAAGTGCTTCTACCAGGGAGACCCACTGTCAGACAAATGGATTGCAGTTGATAGCAACTGATTTTAAGTAGGGATTTTATACAATTTCAAATGTAAATTCTATCAAATGCCTTTATTCAGTTAACAAGTTGGACCTGAGGTATACCCCTGAAACAGTAGCTGAAGAAAATATCTGAAATTTTATTTTTTTTGAAAGATTTATTTATTTATTTATACAAGCACTGGGTACATTCAGAAGTGCGGGAGGGTGAGAGAA